CACACACACACACACACACACACACACACACACACACACACACACACCCCACATGTTTATCCATTCATTAGTTGATGGACATTTGGGCTCCTTCCATAATTTGGCTATGGCGATAATGCTGCTATAAACATTGGTGTGCATGTGGCCCTTCAAATTAGCATTTTTGTATGCTCTGGATAAATACCTAGTAGTGCAATTGCTGGGTTGTAGGGTAGTTCTATTTTTAATTTCCTGAGGAACCTCCACACTGTTTTCCAGAGCGGCTGCACCAGTTTGCATTCCCACCAGCAGCGCACGAGGGTTCCCCTTTCTCCGCATCCTCGCCAATATCTAGTGTTGCCTGAGTTGTTAATTTTAGCCATTCTGACACATGAAAAGATGCTCAACATCACTCATCATCAAGGAAATACCAGTCAAAACCACGGGGAGATATACTTTTAAAACAAAGTTTATTTATTTTGAGAGGGGGTGGGGCAGAGAGAGAGGGAAAGAGAGAATCCCAAGCAGGCTCCACACTGTCAGTGCAGAGCCTGATGTGGGGACCGAACTCACGAACCATGAGATCATGACCTGAGCTGAAATCAAGAGTTGGATGCTTAACCAACTGAGCCACCTAGGCTCAGCCACTTACTACACTTTTTAAAACATTCATTTTATTATTTTCAAGATCTGTAGTAATTGGAACTGAGCCAAATATGTATACTATGCGATTTTTAGTTACACTGCTTCCATAAAATGACCATTATAGTTGTGATTAGCATATTATTTATAAATAGGTAATTATAATGATATTATGGAAGTACTTAAACATTTTGCTTTCTTGAGTGGTTAAAATATTTTTCTTTCAATATTTTTGCACTGTTTAATTTGTTAGTAAACCCTTTTGTGGAAGTTATTCAAAAGTCCTTTTAGTAAGTTATCCTCTCTGGACTGTCATAAAGTCTGCATTCATTGAGCAATATAGAATCGTTGATTCAGTGTGAACAGACTAGACATTGTCCAGCTCAAGCAGTTCCTTATTTAGAGGAGGAAACACATCCAAGTAGTGATGTAACTTCTCAGGGTCCTGTAGGTGCTTCACGTCGGAACTGCAGCTAGAGCCTGGGGGCTGCGGTTCCCTGTCCCGTGTGCCTTTCTTGTAAACCCTAGACCTCTAACTACCAGGTGACCTAAGCTAGTGTCTTGACGTGCAACTTACCTGGGCGGTGCATTGGATGTGTCAGAATATGAGACGTTGAGGGGCAGCCGTCTAACACGTAAAAGTGGTTTAGCAAAGCAGCTTTTCTCTCCCTGCTCGTGCTCACGGTGTGTGTCTGTCGCAGAGGGTTGATGGGAGGGAGCCTACGGGGAAAGGGTCGGGGGTCGGCGGACACTTGAGGAGGGGGACGTACCCATCAAGAGAAGGGCGAGCGAAAAGTGCGGGGCATAAAGGAGGCTGCGTCCACACCGAGCAGTTCCGCGGGCCTTAGAGAGATGGCGTGAGCTCTGCGTCTGCAGACGAAAGGCATCACCGGCACGGCAGTGAGTATGTGCGGTGCAGAGCAGTATGTGTCATGTTCCCAAAAATGAGAGAGGACCCTGCTTATGTGTGTTATACGTTACATGGAACACGTCTCTACGTATGAGGAATGTGGGCTTACAGGCACACATAGAACACGTACGCGTGGGTTGTGTGTGAGATGTTTCTATAGGTGATGTGAACGAGCCCGGAGGGGTAGTCAGGCTGTGAGCACTGGTTGTCTCGGGGAGTGGGATTTGGAAACATTGTTAACGGTTTCTTTGTTTATGGTTATGTTGCTTACTTCATTACGAGAAGCATCTATTACTTTTGCTATTCACAATACCTAACAAATACAAATTAAAATCAGCCGATAGCATTGGTGTATTTATGATGCTTTAAAATACGGGATATTTCATGAATTTGTATGCCGTCTGTATGCAGGGGCCATGGAATCTTTTCTGTGTTGTCCCAAGTTTAGCGTATGAACTGCTGGAGCAAAGTTGTTGTTGGTAGTGGGTTTTTGGTTTGTTTTTTTTTTTTTAATCGAAGTCAGCTAGTGCACTTTCCCATTGAAGAAATACCCAGATTACCTGACTCCTGACTGGCTGACTTGGATGGTTTCTAATGCATTAAAATTCTTCAGTAACAGCATATTCAGAAAGGAACATCGTGAGGATAATTTTCAGATGTGCTTTCCCCTACGATCAAAGTTTCCAAATGCTTCTATTCTTGATTCTAAGCATTTTCATCTTATTTTACTTCATAATCTGTTGTATTTAGCAATAAGCTGATTACTATAGTATATTTACTAATGAAAGATGAATATTGTTTCCATGTGAAACCAAGGCTAATAAATTCTAACACCCATGATTCAATTAAGACTCAAACCTTCCTTTTGTCAAGAAACGAATTGCGTGATGGAATTGCAATTTTTATTTAGAAAGAGAACAAAATAAACTGTTTGCATTTTCCAGATTTCCTTAAATTCTAAGACCCTGAGTCTTCAACACCTCATGTAAGTGCAGATACCCTTGTAATTTTCCAACACCAGGGACGCCTCAGGTCCTAAGATGTTTTTTTTAAATCACAGTTACTAATAAAAGAAAAATATTTTTGAATGTAAATATTTTCTGGACGTTTGTTAGTCATAGGTTTTATGTAGTACTAACAAAGCCATTATTGACATAAAACTTAAAAACTAGGCAATTTTAAAACTCCCGAGAAAAATACCAGCAACAATTTGAGTGTATTTGGGACAGAGAAAACAAAATACTAATGCTTTTCTTGGCTGAGGTCTGTGTGCTATCATCAGTTGGTCTCGTGGCAGACTTTCATTTTTTCATTAAAGCAGCACAAAATTAGTATCTTAGAAGACCACGAGAGTGTAACCAAGACCTGATTCAAGCAAGCATGTCAACAGGGGTTCTTTCTCTCCAAGGAGCTAGTAAAGCCTGTGGAAACTGTGACCGGCTGATCTAGAAGCTCATAACTTTGAGGGTTAGTTGATTTTGGCTATAAAAGAACCAAATAAATTACACAGGGTGGAACAACTACAGAGAAAAACACAGAGGTCTCATCTTCTCCTTGGTCTTTGTACCTTTTGAGATGCAAGTAACTAAATTCACACAGTAGCTTTTCAGATGAAGTTGTTACAAGAGCCCTTCATCCCGCTGCTGCCCGCGGTGAACACAGCTCTGAGTGAGGGCTCGACCGTCACCAGGCCAGAGGAAACCACCACTGTGGTTTCCTGGTTTTGTGGAGGGTGCGGTGGAAATAGAAAGGTGGGGAGAGAATCCTGGGCTTTTTATGGGGTGGGCTGCTGGGGCATTTATTTAGCTTTGGGCCTTGCACTCATGGAGGGCCTTAAACTTACCTTTTTTGCATGATCTCCAACTAAGGGTGTCTGTGTAGATGTATTTTTTTTTTGTCTCTGTGTTGAAAATATTAAAATATAGAATATACGTTACTCTGAGTCTCTTTTGACGCCCCCACCCCCTCCATATCCGTGGAGCCTAAAAACACTATGAGTTTCGTGTGGCTTCTTAAAGGGCCAAAGACTATTTAAGCAGGAAATAGCATCAGAAAACAGTTGTTAGATGCTTGTTATTGTGAATTAAAATGAAGGGCTCTTGATGTTGCATTTTAAGATACGTTCATGATGCTGAAGTTGCCTGGAAGAAAAAAAATATGTGAACATAGCCAGGAGAATTCTGAAAAGGAAAGTCACCTGTCCGTCTGATGTGGTCTGTCAGAGAGCAGAAGGGGATAATGACCTCTTAGGTAGTCGTGAGAATGAAAAGGTATTTTTTACTTAAAATTCTTAGGATAGTGTCTGAAACAGAAGAAACGTTTAATAAATTTCCTGGTTTAGATACTTGCTTTATTTCATAAACCTTTGTCACTTGCTCCGTGTCTGTGGGGAGGTCGATCGGTGATGATGGGGCAAGAGTGGAGTAGATAATGTGATGTAGATGTTTCATCTTTAATAGAGTCAAAGTCAAGCAGGTTCCCGCACGTTGGTGAGTAGTTTTGCACACGGACCCTTCTTGCCGGCGATCTCACTTCTTAGTAGTGCAAGTGTTGGGGCCGCCGACTCCCCACACAGTCGGAAGTTTGTGTATAACTTGTGACAACAAAAAACTTAACTACTAATAGTTGACTGGAAGCCTTACCAGTAACTTGTCAATTAACACATATTTTGTATATGTGTTGTATACTATACTCTTACAATAAAGTAAGCTAGAGAGAAGAAACCATGAGAAAATCGTAAGGAACAGGAAATATCCTCACGGTGCTGCCCCGTAAGGCACCTGTGTATCGGACCCGTGCAGTTCAGACCCGTGTCGGTCAAGGTCAGCTGTACGCTGGAGAATCGTCTCCGCGTGTTGAGGAGACAGACGCAAGGAAGTCCACTAGGGCGCGGTCGTAGTTGTAAAACACCAAAACTCCTAACTGTCTAGCAGAGCTGTGTGTGAGCTAGGTCTCAGAAGCAGCAGCCAGCGGACGTTTTGGACCGGCGCACGTGATGGGACGGCACTTACAGGAGGTCTGAGGGAGTGCAGAACAGCTCACCCGTTGTGTATGGACGCACGTGGAGGCCTGGCGTAAGACGTGCTTGGAAATGAAAACCCTGGTTCAGGAGAGCGGTCACCTCTTCGGAGCAAAGAAAGGGAATGGGGTCCCAGTCTGTTCTGTTCCGCAGGGGAACCCACTGCCTGTAATAGTTCATGAAGAAAAACGGGCAGGAAGACAACATTCAGACATTTTCATAAAGCTGGGAGGCGAGGGCAGGGCCACTCGCCGTGTTAGTCTCTCTCTCCTTGCTTTGAAACGTTTCCCATGCACACAAATGAGGTAAGTATGTGGAGATCCTGTAAAAGCAGGAGAGGGAGAGAGAGTGTGGCCTCTGGAGGCTGAGACGCTGGTGTTTCCTCTCTGTGCTGGTGGCTTTACCTCTCCGAGCTCGTGACCGCGTCTGTAAAATAGGGGCGGGGCGCCTCGATGACTCCGTCGCTTAAGCGTCTCACTCTTGGTTTTGGCCCAGGTCATGATCTCACGGTTCATGACTTTGAGCCCCAGGTCGGACTCCGTGCTGACAGCACAGAGCCTGCTTGGGATTCTGTCTCCCTGTCGCTCCCCGCCCCCGCCCCTCCACCCTCAAAATAAATACGTAAACACTAAAAAAGATTAAATAGGGGTAGTAATATCTCTATGACACTTTGTTAGGAATTAAGAGCTTACCTAAAGTGCCTTTTATAGCTGTTGGTGCAGAAGTTCCAAGAGCTGGGAATAAATACTGTCTGAGCAACAGCGGACGTTGTCCGTGCCCTCACATAACTTGAGAGTCTAGTGGGGGAGACAGAGGGTCAGCTGTCAGACACGTGTAAGTGACACCTGTAATCTGTGTCTTAAGGACAAGTGCAAGGCACCGTGATTCCCTTCTTCCCTGAGACATGCCTGAGGGCTGGGCTTTGAAGAAAAAGCAGGAGCTCAGTGCAGAAGACGGGGTAGAGGGGTCCAGCCCGAAGGAACAGCCCGGAAGTGCTGCAGGAGGGCGCCAGGCCAGTAGGAGTTCCCGAGAGGAGGCCGAGGAGGCCGGGGGTGGAGTGGAAGTCCCAGGGGAAGGGCCGGTGCCCAACAGGACTGAAGACCAGGCACGGCCGTGTCTGCAGCTCTCCGAACGCTCCGCCGGGTAACTTGGGGTGTGAGGAGGGCAGTCAGTGGAGGACACTGGTAGACTGGAGTCCCTTAACATCAGGGTGAGCAGAAGAAGCTCTGGGAGGACGGTTCGGAAGCAGCTGTAAACATGGGACGTTGTTAGGAAGTCCTACAAATTGGTAGCTGGGTGGCCCAGAAGAGTCCGTTTAGGTCGTTGCTTCAAACGAGACGAGAATTGAGAGGCAGAAGCTGCATCCACAAACCAGTGGGTTGTCTTTCTCATCATCCACGTGATCGGAAAAGAGTTCTGGTCCTCTCTTAGTGCTTTTTGCCAGTAGCTGTTCACCTTGAAGGTCACCATCTTTAAACACAGTAAGAGCGCTTTGCTGCATAGATTCTTCAGTTTACGCTGTTCTGCAGACACGAAGTTAAAGCCTAAAATGGATAGTGAAAAATACCAAGGAACTTAACAGTATTTTGAATGGATTCCTTTAGGTATAACCACCGTTGCCAAAATAACCAGTGATAGGCCCACCCGTTCTCACCGCCAGACGAAATGTTTAATCCATCAATGTTTTAAGTGTTTTCCACACATTAATGAGTTAAACGGACACCTGTTGAGGGTTTACTAGTCTGCCCAAAGCTCCACGCCGTGCGTCCCGTGGTGGGTGATCAGTAAATGACTTTGTTGGTGCGGTGGACCTGCTCCCCTTGGTTTCTGAGGCATTTCAGGGGTCTCTTCCAGCAACGAAGGGGCGGCCAGAAATAGAGCAGAAGGAGAGAAGGTGGGGGCCTGGGCTTCAGACACTGGTTAGTAAAAGATGTAAATCTCATTCCTCATCGGTCCCATTTCAAGGGTGCTAAGGAACCAACTCAGTCTGAAAACCAGGGGGAAAGGAAAGAACCAAGGACTTCAAGTGTAAGTTAAAAAAAAGACAAAACAACAACCAGAGAAGTACAGAGAGCAACATTTTTAAATAAACGTTTACCATAAAATTCTGTTATGGGAATGGACCTTTGTATAACTGGTTCCCTGTTGATGGAGAATTTGTTTGTTTTCTCCTTCTCTTCCTCCTCCTCCTTGAATCCACAGACGGCACTTGTTTCTGTTATTTTGATGAACTTTAGGTTAGTCACAGGGTAAACTGTGGCAATGGGACTTCTGGGTTAGAAGGTATTTTTAAAGGTGTAGTAAAGATATTAATAAACCCCACCGTGTTGTCCTCTGGAAAGGCCACCCCACCTTGTCACCCCACACACCTTTATATAAATATAAATAAAAATATCTCTTTGTCTTTTTTTTTTAATGTTTATATTTATTTTTGAGACAGAGACAGAGCATGAG